TTAGAAAGACCTGAAAGCAGCAGAAGATTTGGCAGAGGAATTACTGAAGGACCAGCTTGCGAGACAAGGACGAGTTTTACGTTGTGAACCAGGGGCAGGTTTACAAATCAGATCGCCACCGCCTGATTTGTAAATCTAAACCTTCATTCTCATTTGGATTGATTTCGTGTTACGTCCACTGCCTTATACCACAAACTTTCTTTTTGTTTTTGCCGAGAATCTATGATTGAGATCCTATGTTATTTACAGAACCGCTGGCTGCAAGACTCGTCTGTTCCCAGCATTGAGATACATTGTCTGATCAGGTCAACACGGATATCTTGTAGCTCGAAATTAATGTTTTGAACATGATGAATGCTTTGTCCGGGCCACTACTGCTTAGCGGTGACTCTCTTACAATTAAGCCTATCTATTCGTAGCTGGCAAGTGGATAGTCTGTATAGCCTTTCACCTGAGCTTTTAAATCCGAACCTCCGTGACCATAAAAATAATGAGGGTCGGGCTTTTGATCTAAAAGTTTTCCATATTGAATCCGTTTCGCTAAATCGGGATGAGAAATCCATGGTATTCCGAAAAACACTCCAGCCACTTTTCCGTCTAGGTAAGATGTAAGCATGCGTTACATTTCGATTAATCAGGTAGTAGTTGAGCCTTACCGGATACGAAGGAGGCTGCTTCCTCGGGAGTGAAAGCTCCATTTGAGAGAATAGTAGAGTTCTTGATCATTGGAGAGTAAGTCGCAATAATGTCGTGTGCAGTTCCACGCCTCTGACCTACACGACAAAAAGATCAAGAATACAAAATCATGATCAGGAAAACCCTTTGAGGACGTACCGTCAATAACAGGATCAGTGAGTTCAATATACCTGATCAAATTAACATACGCCAAACCAAACTTATCAGTCTCAGTCAAGAAGTACTCGTATGTAACTATCGTCTCGTCCAGAGGCATCCCCATGTCATTATAACCCCCAGATGGTGTTACTCGAATACCAACCCTATCGGCTCCCCAAACATCGACAAGAGCTTCGACTACCTCCAAGCCAAATCGGCAGCGATTTTCGATGCTCCCACCCCATTCGTCGGTACGGTGGTTCGAAGTGCTGTCGAGGAATTGGTTGATGAGATAACCGCTTACTGCATGAACTGGTTATGCAGTGAGTCAGTAAACGTCGCTCAATCCCCCTAGCTCGTAAGGAAGAAGAATGAAATTATACGTACGCTCTACACCGTCAAACCCTGCTTCTTTGGCACGAACGGCTGCGTCTTTGAATTGAGCTACAATTTTGCGAGGATTGTCTAGGGGGGTTGGCTGGGAATAAGGCCAATCGGACCATAGGAGTTAGCAGTCTGATATTATTACTACTCGTACGTCTATAAAAAACTTGAAGTACTTACAGTGGCGTGCGAAGGAGATCCTGGTATCCATCGAAATTTACCCCCTCTTGCACGTATAGCAGACGGTCCGTATACAGGCTATCGTTGAGGAACAATATCGAAATGCGGAAAGAGGAAATAAGGGCAGATTATCAGGAATGAGATTATATATGATTGCTTGATACGTACTTCGCCAGAAGCTATTTGTTCAGGAGCATTGGGATGAGCGACTCGACCGACTTTGTATCGACCATGCAGAATTAGTGCATCAGGTTCATGTAGGCGGATGCAGTCTCTGAGAAACTTAGCTTACCATGCCAAAGCTGAAATATAATGGGATGATTAGCTCAAAGAAGTGGGAAGGAAGAGGGTTAGCTCATACAAACACATACCTGGCAATAGATATGGCATCCTTGGTCATGTACCGCGTCAACTATCTTCTTCCAAGCCTCCACATGCTCGCTTGACCAAATTCCAGGAGCCCATGGCCATTCAGTTCTAGTTTAAGGTGCTGAGTAAGTCACAGAAGTTAGGTCTGGTGTGTATGTCTGTATTCAGCAGCTCCCCGCCGACCACTACGTTGAACGTTGGGATCGAAATAAAAAAATTCAATATTTACCCTTGTTGAGAAATCAAAGTGCCTTCTGTTACGATGAGCCCAGCACTTCCCGCGCGTTGCTTGTAGTACTCCAAGTTAACTTCATTTGGTACGTTTGTCGGGATGGATCGATTGCGAGTCATGGCAGACATGAAAATTCGATTGCGGACGGTGATTGCGCCGAGCTTTAGAGGCTCGAAGAGGACAGATGCATTAGCAGTACCAGTGTAAGTGGAGGGTCTAGTTGCCATGATGAGGGGTCGGTGGTATTGTTGATGACTTGAGAATAAAAGATGACTTATGTCCGATGGTGTAGACGAAGAAAAGTCATTTGTCGTGCAAGAGGCCAAGGTGATATTTATACTTTTATGCATTGGTGCGAGATGTACTTTCTACGGCTATCTGATTAAAGCCTAGGTATCAGTTCTTTATTCGCCGTTTAGCCAAAATCATGATCGAAGTGCAAGATAAGAGAGATGTTGGAGCTTTTGCCGATAGTTCTCGGTCTCTCTCGAGTAGTGTGGAAAAAGGTGACATCTAATTTTATGACCTTGGGAACTCACTACTGAGTATTCGAGGCTCGTCGAGGCTGATCAAGTGCTTAGAAGTGTTCGCGACATCATCGGTCTCTTCAAGATTCTGGATATCAGAAAATCAGTGAGAATATGAAGAGAGAGGTTGAATGAACGAGCTTGAGCTTGATCGATGATGATCCGTCGCGACTGAACGGTCCGACCGGTTTTCAAACACTCCAGTTAGCAATTGAAGGTGATTAAAATGCGTGATGTCTAGAAAACTAAGAAAATCCAAACATGTAGTAAATCTTCTCTAATTTTCAATTTCGTGAGGCTCAGTCAGGCGATCGAAGGCGCGACTATCCCGCGTTTGCGGCACCTTTGATCGGCTCTTCATTAACTTCACAAGTAAAACGACACTGCGAACCGGTGGTTAATTGGTTCGTGTCTAGTGAACTTGTTTATTTATGATGAAGTAGACACTACAAGCGGCAAGTACGAAGCTTAAGTGGTGCCGGCCGACGAAATCAAAGGCTTCCGATCCAAACAGGACCTGGCCTCAGGCCTCTTCGGTGACGGAAAGGACGATCCTCTTTACAGTCAGCCTCGTAACCGGGCATTCATCTTTTTGTTTTGTAAGTTCAATGCTAGGTCGTTACATGTACATCTCACTGCACCAAGGCTTCCCGCACATATTATATAATACTTACTTTCCTACAGTTTATCAGAGCCGGGGCCCGGGACTTACAATATTTACATATCGGATATGCATACTCGATGAGCCACGATATCAACCTAGAGAGAGACCTATCGAGTCGTATCAGATGCCTACTGTGGATGCTATTTCGGTATTTTTCAAAGTTTTCATTTTGTTTATTTCAAAATCGATCCATGAATTTCAAAAATCACCTTACTGAGGGAGCTCGAGAGTTTCAAGTTCCGTTGACGCAAGATTTATATGGAACCTTTCCATTACATAGTTTTACCCCCTCCAAATAAAGCTATTTCCAATGAGTTGGTATTAAGGAACTTGTTAAGAAGCCATGAAGGAGGTTGTAGGCATTAATTTGAAGGGTTGAAGATCCTACGAATGCCCTTTTTGGCTCATTTGATCTAGGGCTATCCACTTCTTTTAAATTTCTAATGACGTTTTCAGAAGAAGTGGGGCATGAAAGGGGCTGTAGGCATTAATTGGAAGAGTTGAAGATCCTACAAATGCCCTTTTTGATCTGGGGCTGTGCACTTCTTTGAACTTTCTAATGACGTTTTCAGAAGAAGATTAAGGATAAGAGTCAGTCTTTACCGTTTACAGACAGACAGGAAAATTTGTTCAATAGGATGCGATCTTTAATTTTTGACAGCTACATACCTATCATTCCCGTCGTATCTCTCATCAGCCGAATCACCTGTTTCTAATGTTGTTTCCAGCAGTACCATTGTTCTCCCATCTAGGGATACATTCAAATGCCTTGTATGTAGATGTCATTTTTCAGTGACCTTTCTGTCCTTGGGACCAGGTATGTCTTGACCTGTACTATATTTGACTGACAATAAAAATAACTGTGTCTTTGGGTCTAGTCTTAAAACCTGTTGCTGGTTTACGAGGCGGACTGTAGAAGGCCTAGGACTCATTCATCACTCCACTTTGAATTGTAAAAGCGCTCAAGATGCTTCTGAGTTCGTGTTGTATGATACTAGAAGTGTGGAGAAATCAAATTATCACAGCATTCTGATAACAGGCGGAGGATTCAAATAAGTATCATAAGATGACAGAAGGTGATGTTGCATTGAAGAAAGGGCTTAGTGCCAGAAAGTCCGGTGGAGGCTTGTCATGGTGCCACTTCTCGAACAACATTGGATTTCGAATTTCATATTGTCTGTATCATCTGACAGCTAAAGATCAACACCTGGGACATTTGAAATTCATGAAACGAGGTCAGAGGGGAGTGTGGCTGGCGTTAAAAATGTCATCGCTCCCGTCCTGTTCGAATTCATCGCTCGATTCCTTGTAGCTTTAGGGCTCAACAACTTTAATTTTTCAATAGGGTGGGGAACTGGTGATATGCAAACATAGATGCCTTGGAACTTAATTGAAGGAGTCGACTAACTGGCATACTCATTTCAGAAAGAAAGACCGTGACCAGTCTGGTACCCTGTGGCACAAGGTAGTACTTATAGCTATATCACATCAGTAAGAACTACATTACCCATTGTGAGAGAATACCTTGTCTGATGTATTATTTCCAGTAAAGAAATGGATTTTGTTTTTGAAGTTCCAGTCAAAGAAGGCTATAAATGCAGCAATACTTCCTTAGAGAAGGGTATACGAGGGAGATACTTGGTTTTAGTTTACATAAAAGGTTAACGTTAAGGCCCCAGTAACCCAATTGACCCTTATGAAGGGCATTGATGAAAACAGTTGAGTTCTGCAGAGGCCATGTCAATGGTTTTATTGCAAACAAGTTGAAAAGAAACAAATGGAATCCGGAAAGGAAGGGATTTTCACGAACTCCCTGGTAGTATATCGGTTAGTACACGCGCCTGTCATTCTATAGAAATATAATTGCTGACGCGCGAAAGCTGGGTTCGACTCCCAGCCAGGGAGGTGGCACACCAAGGAGCTCGAGATTTTTGTTAACAGGATGTGCATGTGATTCCTCATTCGCATAAAGAAGTTTTTGGTGTACTCGGTACAGATGGGTGGTCTTTTCACATGGGTTTTGTTGCCAGCAGGATGCTACGTATCAGGTTCCCGGTGCTTACTTGGTGTCGACGTCATCTATAGTAACGACGTCGACGTTTCCGTCGTCATGTTCCTCCCGGCCATTGGTCACGATCCGGAAGGCACCAGTAAAGGTATGTGAGAAAAAAGAAACCGCAGCTTTTTTTGGGCGCCCCTCTTTCGTTTCCAATTAGCAAAACTCGTCTTTATTACTCCTTTCAGCTCCTTCCTTTCCCCTCCCAAGGTCCCTTCCCTTCACTTCCCCCACTGATCTGACGCTATAAACCAACCGTTCACTCACCCCTCGAAAAGAGAACAAGAAAAAAGAAGACCAATCATGAACGCCATGGACCAAGTGATCCCAAACCTCTGGCTTGGAGGTCTCCAAGCCGCACTCGACACCAAGACCCTCAAAGCGCACAACATCTTTTCCGTCCTCTCTGCGATGCGAGGCAAAGTGTCTATTCACGAGACGTTTATCAAACATCAGATCCTGCTCGATGATACCGAGGAAGAGGACATCTTGGTGCACTTAATGCCTGCGATCACGTTCATTCAGGCAGAGTTGGGGAAGGGTAGAGGGGTTTTGGTGCATTGTCATGCGGGTGTTAGTGAGTAGGCGTGTTCTTCTCTCAGTCATGTCCTGAGTGGGTGAAGGGGGTTGGGGAGTAAGGGATTCTTTTTTGCGTTTACTGACTTGGTAGTGTGTACGCGCGCTTATTAGGTCGGAGCGCGACGATTGTCGCTGCGTATCTCATGTATTCGATGAGGATAGATCCTATAGAGGCTTTGAATATGGTTAGGGATGTTAGGCCAGAGATCGAGTGCGTGTCCGCTTTAGCCCTTTCCTCCTTTCCTTGGGCTCATCTCTTGGTCTCATCTATTCATCTATCTCCTCAACCAACTTCCTCATCTACCTCTTCATCTCATCCTTGATCCCCCACGACACCTCCCCTTCATTTGTCGGTTGCCGGTCGGTGTCGCTCTTAATTAAAAACAAAAAAAACCCGTTGCGGAATACACAGCCCAAACCCAGGCTTTCTCATCCAACTCGAAATCTTCCACAACGCGGCGTACAAAATCACTAGGAGAGACAAGACGACAAGGATGTTTTACATGGAGAGAACAGCAGAGGAAGTTATGAGTACGTTTTTCCGGAAAAGTCCTTGTTCCAAACTTCCGTTATTTTTTAATAAAATATTCTTGTTCTTAACCCACTGTCCTTTCTTTTGTATACCTTTTTCTCATTTTCTCATTTTCCGTGAACCGATACCAAAAGTACTAAAGCCCTAACTGACAACCTACTCTTAAAACCCCCTCCTCTTTTCTAAACAGACGGCGACGGCACGCTTCCCTCAACAGACATGTTCGCTCGACTCCCTCCTTCCCTTCCTCACTCCGCTCATCCATCATCCTCGTCATCGTCAACCACTCCTCACTCCCTCTCTCGTTCCTCATCCATCTCCTCTCCCCACTATCCCTTTCCCCCTTCCTCCTCCTCCGCTTCCTCCTCCGCTTCCCCATCCACCCCATCACCTTCACCTTCACCTTCTCACCCCTCCTCCTCCTCCTCCTCCTCCTCCTCCCACACCTACTCATATTCCTCAATCCACACAAACCCATCCACACCCTACCCAACCCCTCATCGTCGAATCCGATGTAAACTCTGTCGCCACGAGCTGGCGACGAGAGAACATATGTTGGATCATGGGCAAGTGGGTCCTCCTACGCCGGCTAGTATGACTCCGGCTAGTGTGACTCCGGTGGGGAGTAGGAGGGGGAGTGAGTCGTTGCCTGCTTCTTCTGGTAGTGGTACAGGTGAAGGAGGGACCAAGTCATCGAGACATAATTCGATTACGTTAGGGTTGGCTATGACGCCTACTACCACCACCTCGCCTACTACAACCATACCTAGTGGCCCTGGTGGAGGAGGAGGAGGAGCCCAACCTCGTTCAAGACTAAACTCTTCCACCTCACGTCCACGCAGACCATCAGGTCTTTCGAACTTCCTCGCTGCTGGTGGGTTGGCGGGGTTGACGATGAGTCAGATTGAGAGTGAGAGTGTTGTTGTTGATGATGATTCGGAGAGTGAGAGTTCTAGTGAGAGTGGTGAAAGTGAGAGTGGGCAAGGAGGAGAAGGAGAGGAAGGAGAAGAGGGAGAGGAAGGAGATGGAGGAGATGGAGGAAAGACAGCAAAACCGAAAGCGGAAGAAGAGATGTTTTCGCCTCCGTTAACTGCGAAAGCGAGTAGTAGTAGTAGTAGAGGCCTAGGGTTAAGCCGGACAGGGGACGAGGAACAAGAAGAAGACGAAGAGGAAGAGGAGGAAGAAGAAGAAGAAGGCAAAAAAGCGGTATTGCAACAACTGGAGAAAGCGAAGAGTTTAGGGAGGAGGATGAGTGATTCGATACAAGCCGGTGTTGGATCTGGGTCCGGGTCTGGGTCTGGGACGAAGGAGGAAGACGTGGATATGGTCGATGGGACTTCTTCTTCTTCTTCTACCAATGCCTCTATTCTTGGTTCTACAACCCAAATACCTATGACGACGTCTCCTCCTCTAACGTCTCCTCTTTCTCTGACGACGACGAACACGAACCAAAACACGACAGCGAATACCATGACCTCTTCGACAACGACGACGACGACATCGACCTCGTACGCACCCCCGGGGGACCTCGTAGCCCAACTCCACGCTAATCCGAAACTAGCAGCGTTGAAGGGAGCGGTGAGTATTACTCCTGGTGGGGGCGTGGTTGCGCTCGGTGGTGGTGGTGGTAGTCCGAGCTCGAGTAGTCCGAGCACGAGTGTTAGAGAAGGAGCAGGAGGATCTGGGGTTGGAGGAGGAGGGATCTGGGCGACTCGAAGTCCACCTATATTGGTCAATCCGAAATGTTCCGGGTATTTCGTCGAGCCTGTGAGTTGGTCCTCTTTTCCTTTTTCCTTTCCTTTCTTCTTTTCTTCCTGTCCACAATCTCAGTGTCACTCTATACCGATACTAATTTTTCTTTCTCTCAATTTTCTTTTTTGCACCGTTTGCGTTTCCTCCTCTCCCCCAAAAAAAAACACACAGATGAAATGGATGGAACCTTTCCTCTCCTCCGGCGATCTCTCAGGGAAAATCAGGGAAAATCATCTGTCCGAACAAGAAATGCGGAGCGAAGTTGGGGAATTATGATTGGGCTGGAGTTTGTTGTGGATGTAAGGAGTGGGTCGTACCGGTGAGTGACTTTCAGTTCTAAGAGGTTACGGTTTACTCATCGCTTTTTGTTTGTGTTTTTGATTTACTATTTACTATAGGGGTTTTGTATAAGTCGGGCAAAGGTTGACGAGGTTGTTTGAGCTTTGAGGGCGAGGGAGGAAGGAAGGAAGGAGTGGAAGGAGTGGAAGGAAAAAACAAAATACCGGAAGTATGTATCATGATGAAGGACCTTTGAAGAACAATGTCAACAGCAACAGTAACGAAAACTTCGTTTCTTTTTGTACAACTATACACAAACAGGAAAGGACGAATTCAAGGATCGCAATTGAACTTGAACTTAAACACAGTTTTTCCCAAGTACCCATGCGCATATATGTGAAGGGTTTCTACGAATTTCGACGTATTGATGATAGCTTGACACTTATATACCGACAGAGGAATGGCTATACTGCCTATTTGCATCCATACATATTACATACACATGGACATTGATATCTATTTATCTATTTTGAACTCGTTTTTTGGGCCTTGGAGGACTAACACTTTATTACTTATGGGTTATATACGGTCTTGTCTTCAACAAGTGAATCACTACGTATAATTTGATATTTATTTACTTATTTATTTCACTTTTTCTTTGGCCTACAAGCGTTTTGTGTGGGGTGCGCCATGTAATAGTAATTCTCTAGTATTATGGAAAAGTACTGCGTGCAGGTCCACCGTGACCTACATACTACGGTGAGATCGGAGTGGTGGATCTGGGCGACTCATACTTAGTCTACCTATATTGGTCAACCCGAGATGGTCTGGATACTTATCTCATCGAGGCTGTGAGTGTTCCACAACTATTTTTTCCCTTTCTTTATGAAGTCTCTATAAATGGGATTTATCCGCAAGCCTCTGCGATCAAGCCTTATATTAGAAGGCCTCATGTAAATCACGAACGTACCCTCGTACCCTCGAACAAGCTTTGACAATTCCGAAACCCCACTTTGCGGGCTTAAAATCCAATATCCTTGAACGCCTATGCTAAATCAGACAATAGCACAATAAATATCTTCAAGAGACGAAATACGAATCTCATACAGAGGAATACTCTGGAGGTAGTCCAATAGCATCCTCAACCACTTCCAAATCGTGTCCTCGACAAGTTTCTCCGTTATGCCTCTGCGACATTCTTTGCCCACGGGCCAATTCTGGTCTGTAGAACTGCATAATCCTTATCCCACTATCCAAGTGTCGTAAAGCATTTGGTCTTCCACCACCGTTCTCTTGCATCGCGGGAAATGTGCGTCCAGTCGGAATTGGTAGATCCCGAATTCTTTCATCGTTATCGTGATCCGTCCAATCAAAAACTTCTCTCTGCTCATCGCTACTTTGCCTCTTTTCCGAAGAAACCTTTGTCTTATTGAAAATCCAGCCAGCAATTCTGAATTGACGTTGAACCGGAATTCGTACGTTCCTGGCCGTTCCTGCAGAAACTGAGGATGTATCCAATTCGCCATCACCGCGGCCATTGGTAGCCACTTCGGAGTCATTCCTTTCTCCACCACCGAGCTGATTATCAAGACCTGCAGAAGTGCCCGAAGTCTGATCGATGCTGTGACTTGACCATCGAAAGGGGGTTATAATTTCCCACGCGTACGGCCCTTTGGAGGTATGAACACCTCGTTTTCCTTTTCGTCG